GGGGAGCTTTTGGGTAGCATGGGTGAGCAAGTATAGGCTGAAAACCCATTCTATTTGGGAATTACAGCCTACTATGTCTGGCTCATGGTTGTGGAAACAGTTATTGAAAATGCGAGGATGGTACCAGTACAGAATGGAGTCTAATTTGCAGCATGAGGTTTTCTGGGAAGGAAGGATTATGAAAAAATTCTCGATCCAGCAAGTCTGGGAATCTATCAGAGTGCAGAAGCCTGTTGTTCCTTGGTGGAAGGTAATTTGGGGTAAGTATACTTTACCTCGCAATAGAGTTTTAATGTGGCTCATTATACTGAAACGTATTGTGACCCGGGATAAACTGAAGCAGTGGGGGAAGATTACAGATGCTGCTTGTGTGCTTTGTGAAAATGAGGAGGAGAGCCATTGTCATTTATTCTGTAGATGTGAGTACACTGGTTACTTGATGAGGACAGTGTTTGGTTCTTTGTTGACTGGTTGGGGGACTAGTTGGGAGCAGTTGTTGCAGGAGATGTGTCTGCTGGCTAGGAATAGTAGAGATGGGCCAGTGTTAAGTGCGATATGGTGCTGGATTTGTAGCTTGGTATGGAAAGAACGCTGTAAGCGTGTGTTTGGGGGAAGTCCAAGAATTTGGGAGATTGTTCTTCTGCAAATGAGGGAAGAAGTCTTGTTTTTGGCGCATGGGGACCTGAGATTTCGGGAGGCCTTGATGCGTAGTCGAGTGATAGGCAGTTTACATCTTCAAATTTGAGTTTTGTGCTGCTTTGTTAGTAGGATGTACATCTAAGTTTTTGTGCGACTTGATTTTGATCAAGTGAGCTTAATGAGATGAGATAATTACCGAAAAAAAAAAAAAAAACTATGATGCGTATCCAACCGGGGGAAAAAAGATTCTGATTTGTTCTTAAACATCAATGACAATCTACCCATTTTACTTTATAATTCATACGTCGGGTTTTACTTATTATGTGGCATATTTTTTGTGTGGAATATGTGTTGTAGTTTCTTAAGAGGTAATGTATTTTGATGAAAGTAGTATATTCTTGTTATTGCTTATCATTATTGAATTTCATAAGCTCGTGTTTATATAAGCGTTGTAAAAATTAGTCAAATAGTTTTCTGATGGGTTATTTGATTACTCATTGAGATGAAATGCAGATTATGGGGGTCTTTAACCAAGCTTGAAGCAAGGGCCAGCATAAATAATGCATGTATGTCCTTTAAAGTACAAGCATTAAGGCTGACTTTTAACATAATACATGGCATAAATTTTAATGGATCCATCTGCCCCTTTACATCCTTTTCTTTTTTTAATGGTAGGGGAAGAATGATTTGACAGAAATGAAGAACAATGATGGAGAGGGGTTGCCATAAATGGAGTTGCCTTAAGCTGGAATAGTGGAATAGTTAGGTATGAAGTCCCTCTTTCCCTTTTGGATGAACAGCTAACAACTCCATCAACTATCAAAAGTTGGCAAAATGAGCCTCCTTCCAAGACTTTTGATCATCATTATATTATAATTGTTCGTTCCTCCCTCCCCTTTCTTTATTTCTTTCTTTCAATCATTCATTTGCTTTGCTTAAGATGATCCTGCAATGAAATCGTTGTTCTCCAAATTGGATTTTGATTTGGGGATTTCTAGACATTGACACCGAAGGGATTATGGTGATTGGGTTCGGTTGCCAAAAAAAGTTACATCTCTCAACATATATTATGGTTGTTCTCTACAAAATTTTTGTCACCTAAGCTTTAGCTCATCTCTCATTGATTTACTCAATTCACTCTTTACCGTCTTTTCCATTATTTATTGGACTATCTTTTCCTTTGACATCTCATTTTTGGGCAAGATAGAATAAAGCCCAATTGTAGAGTCAGTTTCTTGTAGGAGATTAATGGTTTCTAATTTTTATGAACTTTTACGGCAATAATTTTTTTATACATTGGTGATGGGTTGTAACATCTTTTTAGTGATATTATACATTTTTAACGTAATGATTATTAAGGAAGTTTATACTCAAGTATATTTCTTATAATTTTTACCTCCACCCAGTATTATGTGCTTACCCCTAACAATTTCGCACATCATCTTAAATTTTTTATCTCCTTTTTTCGTTTCCAAAATTGTTTGCAATCGCTTCACGACTTTCCAACTCAACACTATTATTTCATAAAATTTGATGTTGATCTTAAATTTTGAATCGAGCATATACTACATTTAACGTCTCCCTCATCAACCGAACTTATTGAGATTGATTTTATATTATATTTTCTTAATAGCTTTATCATCCTTTATTTCCTTTAAATTCCTTCCCATGAAATTGAAACTATATTTTGAGTTATAATTTTTATATTTTAAATAAAAATGTATGCATTCTACTAAAAGTAAGACAAAGCTAAATGTTGTATCTCTTATTTAAATTTAAAATCACTAGGACAAATCCGTTATGCTTGGAAAAAAATCAATATTAGGGTTTCTCTAAACTTAACTTATATTATGACTATTATGGAGATTTTTTATCACATTAGTTTTTGTAAATGATGCAACTTCCATGCACATTTATTAAAAGTAATCACATTAACTAGGTAACCAAACGCATAATTAATCCCAAATGACTAAATTACAACTATTCACTCAAACTAAATGCTAAATCACATTAATATGAAGCAGAAAATACATGTTTTCATAAAAATTAAGGAAATTGTGTTCCATTGCTAAAACATGTACACTTGGGGAATACAATTAAGATTCTAATGATATGCAATCATCTTTCACTTTAGTTTTTGTCTAAACAATGTTTCTTTTTTGGGTGTTTAATTACCAAATATGTGAAATCTCACTTTTGGACCTCCTCCAAGCATACGTTGGTGTCGTGGTGTTGTTATGTCAAAAAATGTGCATCCTAAACAAAAAAAAACTATCTCACTCCAAAAGTCCCATTTGCTTTAAACAAGAGAAAGTCAAGATATTGTCGTTAAACATCCCCCTCAATTCCTTAAGGCTTTGTTAGAGTAAAATAGCAAAGTGGACAAGCATTTTCGTAGGGATGGCAATGGTTCGGGTCGGGGCGGATAGTGCATATCCGTTACCTTATTCAATGTAGTTCGGGTTTTACCCATACCCATACCCACATGAAAATGGGTAGAAAATCAAAACCATGCCCATTCATGGTTATCCATGGCCCATGGGTAATAATTTCTTCTTATAATTCCAACCAATATGTTAACATTCACACGTATACTCACATTACGTAAGAGGAAAAGTACGACAATAATTCACTAGAATGAAAATATTATATTTATATGCTAAATATAAAATATTCTAGAGAAAAATAATGATTATTTCTATACAAAATACATATTCATGTGTATAATCGGGCGGGCTCGGGTTGGATAGTGAGAAAATCATGCCCACCCATTACCCGCAATATTTGGGTTCGGATTTTACCCGTACCCATGAAAAATGCATCGGGTTCGGGTTTTACCCTACCCGATTAGGTCAGATTCGGGTGGATATCCACGGTTATGGATATTTTTGTCATCCCTACATTTTTCGGGAGTAAGTAAGAATTTATATTGATATTTTTATTTTAGTTTTATAGGTGGCATCATTTGTCACAATTTGAATGGTTGGCATGAAATATATGTGTTTTCAATTTGGAGACAAATGTACCATTGATTGGAATTCTGCTACCACAAGAATGTCTAATTCTACATTTTTTTCGATTTTTCATACATCAAAGGAGAAAGATGTTGAACATCGAGTCATTCCAATCATTACATATGATAATTTGAACTCTCTATGTGGAACTATTATAATCGAGTATAATAAGAAAATTTTGGAATTTCATAATATCTTGCTACTAACATCTAGATACACCAAAGATAGAACTAATAAGAAGTTATATACAACTTTTGAAGTTAAAACTATTGGTTAGTCTAAAGATTAGATGGTCGGAATGTGAACATCCAACTTATGATATAGTCGCGACTCTTATTATTTTATTAATCGAGATTTGGACAAACTATAGCCAAAAATTAAATATAAAGAAATTAGCAACCTAATAACATTTAAGAAAAATGACAAATAAGAAGGGGAAAAAATGAATATATCGCCCATCGGACGGGCACAATACTAGTTCTCAATGTACATGATAAAAATGAGTAGTAATTCATGAATATGCCAACTTTCAAGGCGATGTCGTATAAGAGATAGCGTGATTTGACTTCTATAACAAGCTAATACACATAATTGAAGGTAAATTTTATGAAAATCCATATTATAGGTTGAAATCCCCATACATTACTATGAGCTGAATATATGTGATATATTCTTCCACCACTCCAAGGAGAGCAGTAACGTGTATTGATCTTCAATTGTGATCTCAAATGACACCCTCGTTGAGCCATTTCAGTAATAATGTACAGTGAACCATGGGTTGGATTGGGATACTAAAATGCTCAATATGGATGACACTCTCCCCCAACATTCTCAACAACATGAGAACAAGAGACTCATCTAAAGTTGTAATTCGACAATGAATCTTTTTTAAGTTTGCAAGGCTATTGTTATGCCGATGGAGCCATATGAATATCCAAACACATTTTGATCCTTGTCACTTCCAGTTCCAGATAGTTTGACTAAGTGAATGATTATTATCATTAAGGTACAATATGTTCGAAACCAACCCAATAAAACATAAATCACAGTATTCTCCAAGAACTTTATTTGCTTTTGACAAAAGAATTATATTATAACCTGTACAAGTCTATATTAATCTTTTTCATTTGAAATTCCAATAATCCAATTTGCCCTTCCCTTCTTGTTAATTGTTATTGGATAAACCATCCATTATATTGATTATTGAATAATTTAACGGATAGTCTATTTTAGATTTATAGATTATAACGAGGTAATTATGGATTTTTTTTTTCTTTTAAGTTTCTTTGGTTTTTACTTATTTTGTTTTATGTTACAGCAACCGGGCCACAACAGCTTCAACATAGCCCGCCCGCTCGCTGGTCGCAACCCATTCCATTTCCGGACGGGCTCTCTCTCTCTCTCTCTCTCTCTCTCTTCCCACCGTCCATTTTCAACAACTGCTGAGCAGCAGAAGAAGAAGAGAATACTCTTTTACCAAACCAAGCAATCCGAACTCTATTGACTTCGTTTGCAACCGCCGTCCTCTGCCTCCTCCGCCGTCGCCGGAAAGAAACCGAAACCCTCCCTTCCCGATCGTGACCCGAGCCGAGCTGCTTCCACTCTTTGAGGTGCTTCCTTTCCCTCACTCTTTCCGCCCATTCTCTCTCACTGTCTTCGTTTTCCATCTCCTGAGATCAACCTGTAACGAAAGCATTTCTCCTCCCTTGACTGAATTCCGACTCCGCGATTTCAATTCCCCAATTCCAATCCACCGCCGGGGTTGATCTGATTGATTCTCCGATCATTTCCATCTCACCTCCTCCCACCCCAGCAGTTCTTAACCTGGATTTCCTCCTCCCGTATTACTGCCTCTTTCTACTGATTGTTCTGGAGCCACTCTCACCGCAGTTCGTTCGGAAATGCAACTTTTGGCCAAGGGTAATGCCGCCGCTTCAGCCGTAAGCAACCCGGCGTCTAACCAGCACCACCATCACCAGTCCCTCAGGAGGCTGGGGTTCTGCTCTCAGTTAGCTGCCGGCGGGGCCCAGCACTCTTCCCCCATCGTTTTCCCTGAAAAGCGCAGCAAAAAGGTCAGGTCATCTTCCTCCAAGCGGATTGAGCTCACCAGCGATCAACCTTTTGAGAACCCTAGCCGGGATGAAGTGAGAATCGACATCGGAGGTGGAATACCCGCCGCGGGGGACGAGAAGTCTGATTTGTTGGGGGATGTTGTTATCGCCGGCAAGCTCGTTTGGGACAAGAGGAAGACCTCTCCGACCCCTGATGCACCCAATGGAAGTCCTGCTAACCAAGCTTCTCCCGATGTTCCTAAACAGGAGCCAGTGGATGCTAAGCTTACTAGCAAGGCCTTACTCTGTGGTTCCACTGTGTTGCATCTTGACGATATCATCTCGGTAAGTTTCTCTCCTCAATTGTCATTCCACCCATCTGTGGACGTCATGAACCATCTGCTTCAACCTACTTGATCATAGGATAGAAGAATGATGTCTTCTGGGTTTTTTAGGTAACATATAATGCTGGTCTCAGGCATTTCACTGTCCATTCGTATCCCATAAAGAAGGGCTCTTGTGGTCTGTCTTGTTTCATCAAACCCAAAAGAAGTCGCAAAGACTATCGTTTCTTAGCCTCGACCGTGGAAGATGCAGTACAGTGGGTTGGTGGATTTGCAGATCTGCAATGTTATGTGAATTGCTTGCCTCACCCTTTGGCTTCTTCCAAGAAGCAAGCTTCTTCAGAGTTACTTCCCATTGACCCTCCTCCTGAGTTGCTATTTAAGTGTAAGAATCCGCCTAAAATGCTGGTCATCCTGAATCCACGTTCTGGACGTGGCCGTTCCACCAAAGTTTTCCATGGCATTGTGGAACCTATATTTAAGGTGTGTCTTCTACACCTCACTCTTAACTAGAATACACCATTTCTTCATGTATTGAATGTCTATGGCAGCTCAAGGATTGTGGAAGGTCCAATGCATTCGTTATAACTTATATGTGAGATATACTGCGTAAGAACTGTAAAGAACAGTCAGCTATATTCTCCGAATGCAGGGAGTTCTCCTGCCACCGATATTCTGATTATAGCTTTTCTACAGTTTGTGTATGCTGCATCAGCTTTGCTCATGTGGCTGTTAATATTAGTTGCCCACCATTGGTTGTGATGAAGTGCCTTGAGATCAATAGCTTGCCTATGAAAATGATTTTGCCTATGTTACAACTTACGAGTTGAAGAACTGAAAGCGAGCACTGGGGAACATCTTTTTCGTGACAAACGTATTTAGCTCTTTGTATGTTGTAGGGAGTTTCCTCTTTCCTCGGAGCATGTTATGGTTCTTTTAACTGTCATTCATGTGAAGTTAGAAATAGTTGAGCATCTCTTTTCATGTCTGTCACATCAATAATTTAAAGTGTGTGCTGTGACAGCTTGCAGGGTTTAAGTTGGAGGTAGTCAAAACTACATCAGCTGGTCATGCTAAAAGTCTTGCGTCTACTGTTGACATCAGCACATGTCCTGATGGTATGTTTCTCGATGAACATTATAATGAGCCTTCTTGTTCTTCCCTTTTTGCTGGTTCCCAATGAGTATCATATATGATTATTTTTCACCATTGCCTGTTACATTTGAACTTCCCCCCTTGTTTCAGGAATTATATGCGTGGGTGGTGATGGAATTATCAACGAGGTAAGGTTTCTACTCTCAATTGGATTCCCTTTTCTTTTGCATTAGTTCATGTTGTGCACCTGGCCACGTTTTATTTTCCCTAGTGGCGCTAATGAATGGTTCCGTTGATACTATATTTGCCTGTATCTTCTGCCGAGTGCATTATTTAATGCACGTCTATGGGAAAGCTTTATGGCGCAGGCCACGAGAGGCACATCTGTTATTTTAGATCCATAAATGTCCCTGTTTGGCTTCCACCCATTCTTAGTTGCGCAGGTTAGAGGAAAGGGGGGGAGGGGGTAAAATGAAATATGACGAGCTCTTTATGTTGTTCTGTATGGGGAAAGGTTTTTAAGTTCTATTTGATGCCAGGCTCTTCAACTTGAAGAGCTCTTGGGACACTTTGGTGGGTTGGTGGTAGGAGGGCGCATAGATATGTGCATTTAGTAATTACTTTTTTAGGAAGAAATGTTTTTGTGGAAATAAACCCAATTAAGACAACCTTTCTCTGCGTGTTTTTCTTTTGTTGACACTGCATGTCAAACAGTGTACATTTATGCCCGCAGCTGTACTATCCGTTTTTTAGTTTTGGAGACATATACCGTCTGAGTTCTTTCTCACAGCTATATGGGATTTCAGCTGCATACTTACTAGATTTAAAGTAATGATACACATTGAATGAGTTTATGTTGAATGCATGCTGTGTCGGTGCATACATGTGTATCGTAGCTCCTCTATCATTTAGTTAGTATTAAGTAGTAGCAGGAAACTGTCGATGCTTCTTTTCTTGATGATTAACAAGTTAATTAATGCAATTAGTCAGGTCCTGAATGGTTTGCTCTGTAGAGATAACCAGAAGGAAGGAATCTCCATTCCAATTGGTATTATACCGGCTGGTTCTGATAATTCCCTTGTCTGGACTGTTCTTGGAGTACGTGATCCTATTTCTGCTGCCATGGCTATCATCAAGGTAAGTTCATAGTGAAGCCGGTAGTTATTTTGAATTCTAGTTATCAGAAAATACCAATGCTTTCATAAATTTTCTTAGTCCATGGACCATCTGTGGGGTGAATAGAATTTGAATATCTCAAATGGCATTGAAGGTTTTGGACTTACTATGCTTATCTTTCTGTTCAGGGAGGTCTAACTGCCACGGATGTTTTTGCTGTTGAATGGATTCAGACCGGTATTATGCACTTCGGGATGACTGTCTCATATTATGGTTTTGTAAGTGACGGTAAGTTGACCAAGTACTATCTCTCTTATCGGACAACGCTGTTTTATGAGTTGAATTTCTGCCTCAGAGCACTCTGGTAGAATATAGCCACTCGTTTCTTCCCGTGAATTTTGTGTATGAGAATACATGACCTGGAAAAGTTTTAAGTCTGAAGAAGTCCTTACATACAGAAGCTTGTCTGCACTAAAATCGTAAAAAAGAACTTGATGCTTATCTTCAGCCAGAGAAATATCAGATTTTACTCATTGATTTGAGTCTTGTATTATGATGGTGCAAATGAGAATGTTTTTTATGATGAAGTGCTGATCTGGATTTGTCTCTACATGTGTTTTCTTGTACTCCTTTTTGGCTCCAGTTACTAGGAGATTCTGCCAGCTCAAATAGATATGGTCTAATAGCACTCATGTGTAGATTGTGGAGTTCGGTGAAAAGAGTGCCTAAAGTTTAATTTGTTCTTGCACTTATGAATTATTTTGGTGTGTTGCAGTGTTGGAACTCTCTGAGAAATATCAGAAACGCTTTGGTCCGTTGCGTTATTTTGTTGCTGGGTTTCTGAAGTTTTTGTGTTTGCCAAAGTACAACTATGAAGTAGAATATCTTCCAGCATCCACAACAGAAGATCAAGGAAATCGTCTTGGTGATAGAGAAGTAGTGGACATGGCTGATCTGTATACAGATGTTATGAGGAGGTCAAACACAGACGGTGGCATTCCTCGAGCCTCTAGTTTATCAAGCATTGACTCGATAATGACTCCAAGTCGGGTTTCTGGAGACTTGGATACCACCTGCAGTAGTACTCGTGCCAGCACCGAACCATCGGAATATGTACGTGGCCTCGATCCCAAAACCAAACGCCTGTCATCTGGGAGAAATAATACCACAACAGAACCAGAACCAGAAGTGATTCATCCTCAAATGCCACTCTCTACAACGCCCAACTGGCCACGGACTCGGTCAAAGTCAAGAACAGACAAAGGGTGGGCTGGAACAATTTCCACACAAGATAACTCTAGGTGCTCCTGGGGGAATAATGCTACAAACGACAGAGAAGACATATCTTCAACTTTGTCTGATCCAGGTCCAATTTGGGATGCCGAGCCAAAGTGGGATGGTGAAGCGAATTGGGGGGTGGACAATCCTATTGAGTTGCCGGGACCTGCTGATGATCTAGAGGGTGGAATGAGGAAGGAAGTGATGGTCCCCAGATTTGAAGAGAAGTGGGAATTCAGGAAAGGACAGTTCCTTGGGATCCTAGTGTGCAATCATGCTTGCAGAACAGTGCAGAGTTCTCAGGTGGTAGCACCTAAGGCAGAGCCTGGCGATAGTACCCTAGATTTGATATTGGTTCATGGCAGCGGGCGGCTGAGGCTATTGAGGTTTTTCTCACTGTTGCAGATGGGCCGAGGCGGACATCTTTCACTGCCATACGTGGAATACATAAAGGTACGCGGTGCATCTTATGCTATTTGAGAATGCTGACCCAAGCATGTGCTTTCCTTTTGGAAAGAGGAGAGTGAAAAATTGTGTTGGGTTGTTGAGGTGGGGGTGAGAGTGTGTTTTGCATTCATGCAACAGAGGGTGTTGAACTTACTGCTAATGCAGCGGATCCCATATGTCTTCCGATGTTAAACGTGCTTGGTAAGAGTAGTTATAAGAATTTGATTAGACTGACTCATACTGTGGTGTTGTATGACAATGACAGGTGAAGTCGGTGAAGATAAAGTCTGGGAAGCAGAGTCACAGTGGATGTGGGATCGATGGAGAGCTTTTCGCATTGAACGGGCAAGTAATGTCGTCGTTGTTGCCGGAACAGTGCCGGCTGATTGGTCGGCGGGGGACATATGAAAAGTCATGATGAGGGTTAGTTAGTCCGAATGATAAACTTGGTCGTCCTGTTGTTGTTGTGAAGGTTCCCTTCGTGGCGGTGAGGCGGGGCCAGGGGCTGGTGTATGAGATGAGTGAGTTGGCGTGGCTCCCTGAGCTGAAGGGAAAGTTTATATATGAGAATCTGGTGTATACGTGAAAGTGCCATTTTGCTGTTGTTAGGGTTGTTGACACTTCTGTTCATGCGAGCGAGAGAGTGCTGGTTGTGCATGTCTGGTGAGGTGAGGGATTGGAACTGAATTGATAGGTTGGTAGGAAGGAAGGAAGGAAGGAAGGGTACATTGTTGGTTAGTAATAATAATGAGGCTTAGGCTGGGAGGGTTTCAGGCAGAGAGGCAGTTGAGTTTTTGCATTATCGTCCTTGGGATTGTTGTCTGTAAAATTGATTTGGGTTGGTGAGTTGGGTGTACCAATAAGCAGAGAAGAATATTTGATTGATGCACAGAAGTCGGGATGTCTAACTCCATGTGTTGGTAATATACAATATTATGTGCTATTCCTGTGAATCAGGCTAACAAATTTGTCACCGTATGTATTCAATGAAGATGGAACGATTACCGCTCGATCGGGAACGCTCCAAGTACGTTCGGTTGTAAGCACCATAGCCGGATTGGTCCCTGCTCGCTGCTGTTGCTAGAAATCACTGCTTGCCGAATTAGCTCATTTTTCTTGTGCTGGTCCCGCACTTTGAGCGGGCCTTTGATCAGTGGGCTTGACGGTATGCGTTTCACCATTTGGGCTGGACTTTTGGTCGAAGTCGAGTCCAAGCCCGTTGTCGATGGCATCTTCCTGGTTCGTCGGTTACAAGAAGACACAACACAAATGAAATGAGCCAATCACACAGCCAAAATTCCAGGCCGTGGGAAGTTGAAAGCCTGAAGAAGGAAGAGATAAAGCAATGGCGGAGCCTCATCCACACACTCCTCACTTTGGGCAGCAGCGTCCATCCGCCGAACCGAATCCCTAAAAGTTTACTCTCCACACAATCCAGAGCACGATCCGCCATTTTCCACAGAGATGAGTAGTTCTTGTGCATCCTCCGCCGCGGCCGTCGTCGGCCTTTTGTCTGCACCGCGCCCCAGCGCTACTCTGCTACCTCCCTCGCTCGCTCTCCCTGCCACGATGACAGCCGCCGCCGGCGCCAGATGGAGGAGGAGGCAGCCGGTCTGCTGCGAAGTGGCGGTCCGATCGTCGAGCGATTCGGCGACGTCGTCGGAGCACAGGATCGGAGCGAGGGTGCGGGTGACGGCGCCGCTGAAGGTGTACCACGTGCCTCGCGTGCCGGAGGTGGATCTGACGGGGATGGAAGGGGTGCTGAAGCAGTACGTAGGGTTATGGAAGGACAAGACCATCTCCGCCAATCTGCCTTACAAGGTGGAGTTTCTGATTGAGGTCCAAGGCCGTAGCTCCCCCGTCAAGTTCTCCGCCCATCTCCGTGACGACGAGTTCGAGTACCTTGATTGACTCGAATTTGCGTTCAGCTGAATCGATCAGTCAGCCGGCTTTCTGGATTGCCTGCCGCCGAATTCAATTCAGTCTGGTTGCACTACTCAGGCAGGCAGGCAGGCAAATGTTCCCTCTTCGTTAACTTTTAGCCACTGTGAACTGTATCTGTGAATGTATTTAACAGTTTTGAGAGTTATTACATACGCCTCCCTCTTTCTCCCTTCCCTCAAAACGGAACACTGCAGGATGAACTCTGCAGCACGACAATTGCAATTGAATTGATAGACCTATAGAAAGTGTTAACCTGTAATAATGTGTAGTCAACTAGTCATCCAGACTCCATCGACAAGCTATTTGCTTGCTTGATCATTCCCTGTTCATTACTGGCTTTGATCATGTCTTCAGCTCTTGTGCTTCTTTGCGTATTCAGATCAACGCAATTTCGCGGAGTGATCTTTCTGGCTTTGATCATGTCTTCAGCTCTAGTGCTTCTTTCCATATTCAGTTCAGCTCGATTACACGGATTGACCTCTCTCGTCACACAATGTCTGGTGGTTGTAACTGTATAAGCACAAAATTCATGTTAATCCGAAGTCAGAGCAGGACAATTATGCTCAACAGGTTCGAAAGCAGACTGAAGAACAGTACAGCAGCTGCTGCTGCTAAGTGGCGGAGATAGTAAGTTAGTAACCACCAATGAACTAATGATACAACCCAACGCAACAATCATCATCATCATAATGTTACATTCATCCAAAGATCAACAGTTCGTCGTTCCCGCCTAAATACTTGCCATTTTGACAATAAACAATCTTATGAATTATGGTACACTGGACCCTGCCTGCTACAATTCCACTCTGGCAATGCTAACTACTCATACAAGAACCAAATCGAGGACGAGGACTCTACCCGATGTGCTTCAGGAAAATCCAATTGAAACAACAATTTTGGGTCGGTGTTTCTTCTACGAACTTATAATTCCTACTTCTCGCTGCCGAACTCAGGTCAGCCACCCAGCCGTTGCCATTAACCAAAGTCTAATAGTACAATTGCCTCCTTCCCAAGAAAACCATTCAGCCAAAACTGCGGCAGCTACGGGGAAGGACAACCTGAAAGTAAACTCGTCTGTCTTGTTTCTACCTCAAAGCTGTCGTCATCTCATAACTGACTCCTTCACGAAAGAACGACCACCGGAGCTGCATCAAAACCACAACATCAAATACAAATTCCCCCGCAGCAACTAGTCATCGAAGATAGATAAAAGAACAGAGCTGTCTTCCAATCAATGATGTTATTTCCCACCTGTACTCGAGGTGAATATTCATGAACCGACGGTTTTCTTTGCTTTGTGACAACACCAATGACCCTTCTATCACTTGATCTTGCTCCACCTCTATTGGCTCATAGAAGTATATCAATGTCTGCAACCCACCCCAACCAAAAGACATACAAAAATTTCATTCAACTCCCCGAGTTTCGGTACCAATTCATCAGACAAGAAAGTTAAACCATAGCCCAATTGTAATTTTTTATACATACCTGCTGCCAATGTGTTGGAGGATCCTCAGGAGCAGTAGACAGTATAAGTGTGTCATTTGGATTCGTCCTTTTCTTCTTCACGGCACCATCCAAGGATGGAGGACTTGGTGATCCAGGTAGCACAATTTGAGCGTTTGTGTTCAAGTTTGCAGGCCCATTAAATTCGACATCGAACCAAAATGCAAACCCATGAAATGGAGCTGAGATTTTGCCAAGTACAAGAAAAACAGACAATCAAACTACTTGAAGGCTAGATGTGGTAAGGCAACCAAAGGAAAAACACAAGCATGTACAGATGCTGCAGTAGTTGTGCACCTCTCATCATTGACTTGAATTGAAACCTTGTTGTAACAGATTCTAGCTCGTAAATTTGAAGTGTATAGCAGTCCACATATTTCACCTGTAAACATTAATACCAGGCTCTCAAGTTTACAAAGGGAAGTAACTACTAACTAGGATTCGGAAATGAATACCCAAAGATGTATCTGAAAATAAATTAATAGTCAAAATCATTGAACAGCAACAGAAGCCAGGGCCATCCAAAAGCATTAAGGAAGCAAAACATCTTATGAATGCCAATGACTAAACATATACGACTAGTAGAACATCGTAGTGGGTGCTTGCTTTGACTAAAAATTTAGAAGGTAGTCATAAGACTTACCACATGAGGCCATGTCAAGACATTCTCACCACTTATTGTCTCAACTGATGGCTCTTCGAATGCACACTGTTTAGCTAATGGCAACATGGCAGACACTGTAACCCCCCAACAAAACAAAACAAAAAAAATACTTAAGCGTGTAAGACAAAACAGTTTCCCTGAAGTTTGAGTGTCGAGCAAGTAATACTCACTGTCGATCCCATACACATTGCGCCAAAAATCAATGCTTTCCGTGTATCGATCAGGATGTGTGATAGGCGCCATATACAACTGCAACCATAATAGTTCAAAAGCATCTTCCCATCATTAGCAGATGTGCAAAAAAAACGCACCTACATTAAGTAAACAAATACAAACAGAATGTACAGAAAATCTAGCAGAAAACGGTGATATCACAAGGAAAAGAATTCAAAGAACCTCAGAAGCATTATCCAACACTTCGAAAACATACCGTTGCATGTGAGGGAAGAATCAGTCCTCCACGTTTTAGCCATCGATCTCTTGCAGTAATTACACTTCCTAGCATGCTCTACAATTTCATAAATGCAAGAAAACCCCAAAACTAAGAGCAGAGCAGTTGGAGTAGCAGAGCTTCCTCTTTTGTTTTCAAGACAGAACATAAATCATAACACCCTGAAACATCATCCATTTGCCACTACCTCGTAGAGAAGCATGTAGCCCATCCACTCTGAAACTATAACATCAACCTCCTCATCAATTTCAACATCCTGAGAAAAAATCACAAGACTGTTTAGGCCATCCAATGAAAGATGAAATAGATTGCACAGAACATAGGAATGTATCTTTCGCAGTTATTTAATTCTAAATAACTCTATGGGGCTAGTTCATCAGACAGGCTGAACTTATTCCTCATAACATGTATTATAAGTAGTAATATATTAACTTGCAGTTAGTAAACGTAATTGGAGGTTAATGGTTGCAACTAGCAAACAGATTCTTGCGCAATGAGAAAATGAGCACTTAATAACCAGAACGTACCTCAACTCTCCCATGCAATACAATAATCCTGTCAGATAAATTATTTGCCTTTACAACTTCATTAGCCTGAATCAAGAATAATAAGAATTCCATTAGAAGTCATATGCTCGTAGCTAATACCTTTTAACCAAAATAGAAGGAGAAGGCAAATCAAGATATGAGCTGAACAAGCTTTATCTGACAGAATACATATGCTGACAGCTCGTATGGTTTGAAATGAGTGGAATGAAGAAGAAAAAGCAAATGATTGAGAGGATAAAATACCTGAAGAGCAATATCACTGGCATCCACAGCATATACCTGGTGAAAACCAATACACAAAAATGATGGTTACTGTTAGTTCCACTTCCAACTTCAAGCAGCTCCTTTGTGTCGTTCAAATTGCTTTCATGCTCTTCAGTTGACCTGATAATCAACACTGCTCAAAATTAAAGAAGCCTTGACATGTACTAGCTACAAGATGACTTACCCGTTTCGCGCCAGCTTGAGCACAAAATATAGCTAGAATTCCAGTGCCACAGCCAACATCCATCACAACCTGTTGTATATCCACATTGTCCATTCAGGAGATTGGAGAAGTACAGAAAATACTAATACAAGAATATTCCTCATATAGCCAGATACAACATTCAGTTGTAGACACAAGAAATGTCTGTGCAATACTTATAGGAAAAAGAAATCAAACACACACGCAAGATAACAACTTTGACGGTCACAACTTACTTTGCCTTCAATATGCTTCTGGTGCTGCAAGATTGCACTCCGATAAGTATCTGTGCGTACTCTGTCCTGTAACGAATAAAAATAGTACAAGAACAGGCTTAGAAAAAATTCCAAAGAACCGAACTTCTAATGGCTACAGGTCAACAAGATACTTCAAACTATATTCACAAGTTGAAAATAAACGAGTCAAATCAGAAGAAAGCCCAGACAAGAAGTAACAACAGCATAGTAAGGACAATGAAGCACAAGCATCACCATTTCCATTGTTTACGCATAATATCCAAGAAGAAACTACGACATTCATTCTGAACTTGCAGACAAGAGCATGAAAGCAATTTGTGCAGCTACCTCGCCCGTTCGCACTGAAGATCATGTGGGCATTGCAGCAAAAGAATAACATAGTGTGCAGGAAATGAGAGGAACAAGACGGGACAACACTCATTCCAGCTCCACATTCGGACCACCGCATAGCCAAATTTGATCAGGAAAGCTTTGAAACAGTAAAAATAATCAGGGGAAAACAAGAGCGGGAAATGTAACCTTGATCATCTCTTCGTGGATGCCAACATGAGCGTAAGAATGGAAATAGGCCTTATCAAAGTCGGTACACGGAGCGAGATTCTGCTGCTCCTCCTGCTGCGATGGCGGCTGGCTATTATTATCCTCGCCAAAAACCCTAAACCCATCCCCGTAATCACGCGACCTAAGTCCGCCGCGGGACCCTCTTCTAACTCGCTGCCGTTGAGTCGTCGTCACAACTCGCTGCTGCTCCGGCTGTTGGTGGTCGTGGTAGCCGTTGGCGTGACCTGAACTGGGATACATGGCTCCCTTTCCCCGCCGCCGAAACGATTTTTCTTCGCTTTCCCCGGAGACTAAACCAGAAGGGCACACACAGACGCAGTCCGATCGTTTCCTCTCGTCTTTAAGGGATTAATATCCTAAATGGTCACTAAATTAATGTCAATGTAACAATAACGTCATTGAGTTTTACAATACTTCAAATTGACTGCTTATATTTCTCGAATCTTAACAAAATTATCACTACCCTAATTCCTATCGAATTCCGGTTAATTACAGAAAGCCATAAGGAGAACCGAATAGTTAAAACCCTTTCCTCTCCCAAAAACCCCAAACGCTCTCTTCTCGCCTCTCTACTCTTTTCTTCTTCCGTCGTTCGTTGCTCCGCCCTCCGCCGCGCCGCTCTCGGTGCCTCTGCCTGCGTTTCCCTTGCGAATTGTAATCCGAGCTAGCAGTAGCAATGGCGGGCTTTCCACCTCCGGGCGCCACAATCCTCGGAGATGATGCCGCAGAGAAGAAGATCGATGAAGTCGGGAAGAAGAAAGTCGATTACTTTAACCTCCCTTGCCCCATTCCCTTCGAAGAACTTCAACGCGAAGCTATCAGTATAGTTCCTAATCTTCATCTTCTTACCTATTCCCCATCGTCCTCGGTTTTCGTTTCCCCGTAGCTTTTTCCCGTGTTGGTGTATTGGTTTCTATTCGCCGACTCGCCGTTCTGCTGCTTCTGGATCCGTCTCCATCAGCTCGTTATCTGTTAACGTTTGATGCATTTGTTCTAGGTAGTCCGTTGCAGCAGGGCTGATTAGTGAATTGTTTCATGAGAATCAGGAATTGGATGTTGGTTCTTAGGTTTCGGGGCTCAGTGCAAAAAAAAAAAAATCTCAAGCTTCTAGCTTTTGAAACCTCTGAACCCAATGGTTATGCTTACTTGTTGTTCTTGATACTATTGTGATACGGTAATAATTCCTGTGCTGCTGGTTCAACCAGTAAACTAATCTAGTGGAACTGATTTCTTATATCTATGGGCAGTGTCTTTAAAGCCTGAGCTTTTTGAGGGGATGCGTTTTGATTTCACCAAAGGGCTTAACCCCAAATTTTCGCTGAGTCACAGGTAGCTTTTGCTTCTTGTATATGTCACTTTTGTTTCCCTGAATCTTCACTTATGGATTCTGGCGGTAGTGATTTTTTAATTTGTTACTACATTCATCAGCGTTTTCATGGGTCCCATGGAACTTCCTTCTCAAGGTGCTGAAACCCTTAAGATTCCCACTGCTCATTATGAATTTGGTGCTAATTTCATCGACCCAAAGGTAGGTGACGGTTAACATGTTGAGATTCCCTTGCCCCGTTTGGTAATGGAGCTCCTTGAATATTATAATAATTGACATATGGCGTTTTCAGTTGATGCTCATTGGAAGGGTCTTGACCGATGGGAGACTAACAGCAAGAGTGAAGTGCGACTTAACTGATGATCTTAGTTTAAAAGCTAATGCTCAGGTGAATTCCGTACCGTGTTAACTGGTTATAGTCCGTTGTTTCTTATGAGTGTTTGCAAGTGAGGAACTTGCTTTTTTTCCTGCTTAACTCTTGCTCCTTTTTTGCCATCCAGCTGTCAAATGAGCCAAATATGTCTCATGGCATGATCAACTTTGATTACAAGGTCAGGCCTTCTCTATCTCCACTTGTAATCATTAAACTACACATTTTTCAATCCTGTACCCAATCTGTAGCTTTTTTGGGTGACATAAGTGTGGTAATTGCGGATGTCTTCTGCAAGGTGATTAGAACGAAACATATTTGTGTATTCCCTCTTAGTGATGGACATAATCACTTGTAGCCAAGTTTCTTTAGATAACATCTGAGAATGAACCAGAGCATTAGTATCCCGAGGAAAAGGACAAGTACGGCCCTTTGGTTTAAGCTACATTGCACATCAGTGGGAAATGCATCTATCATCTCATTCTTTTTTTTGTGTGTGTGATGCCACTTCATGCAATTCAGACCTTTTCGCTATAGCAAGCACTTTGTATATCGGTTTGCCATTATATGTATCTATATGTAGCAGTGTCGAAGCAAAGTACTGACTGCTAAATCCTGATGGTGCCTTCTTTCTCTTGTGCTGGTGCTCCCTTCTCTTACAGGGCAAAGATTACAGGACTCAACTTCAATTAGGAGATGGTTCTTTGTTTGGAGCTAGTTACATTCAGGTACTTTACCCAATTTAAGCGCTGCTTTTTCGGCCAGTTATCTTACAGTTCATTTAACCATGCACATTCTTAGGCTTTTCTCCTTTAACCTCTCCATTGTTTCTATACAGAGTATTACTCCACATTTATCCCTGGGTGGTGAAGTATTTTGGGCTGGTCAGCATCTAAAGTCTGGTGTCGGGTATGCTGCTCGGTATGAGAACGATAAAATGGTAAAGTAGCTTCCTTTTGCGTCCTTAAAAGGTTTCTGGTTCATTATTTTCAGATTGGCATGTGCCATGCATGTTCCTTTTGCTTCTTTGCTGTGGGTAAATGTGGCCCATACCATAAACTTGATTTCTTATGTTTCTGCTGCGTCACTTGTTACTCATTTGTGCTTGGTTTTGGTGTTCAGGTTGCGACAGGCCAAGTTGCTAGCACTGGGATGATTGCCATGAGCTATGTCCAGAAGGTCTCAGAGAAGGTAATCCTGGTTTCTCGTGGGAACCAAGTGGATTGTCCTCATGTGATGTACACAACAAATCTCTTTAACTAATCCTGTTGTTATGGCGTGTAGGTCTCACTGGCAACAGATTTCATGTACAACTACCTTTCGCGAGATGTGACTGCCAGTGTTGGGTATGATTACATCCTCAGACAAGTAAGCATTCTGTGAAAACCATCCACAGCAATATAAATACCTTGTTTTGGGCGTGGAGTAGCGCTAAAGGCTGACATTTGAGTCGGACTGGTGCAGGCTCGTCTGAGAGGGAAATTAGACTCCAATGGGTGTGCTTCTGCATTCTTGGAGGAGCGGTTGAATATGGGTCTCAACTTTGTCCTGTCGGCCGAGGTATGTGGTGGCGGCAGCAGGGGTGTTTTCTCTCTTGGTTTTGGTTTTGGTTTTCTCAGCCTAGCTGTGAAAGTTGATACATTTGATTTGCTTTTTGGGCTGTTGCAGATTGATCATAAGAAGAGTGACTACAAATTTGGATTCGGACTGACAGTAGGTTAAGTGAGCCCCGTTCCATTGTATAATTTGAGTGGAAGGACGAGTTCAAGGAGGGAGTCACCGGCGGCCACCGGGCTTGTGTTTTGTTTCCCTCGGCCTTTCTACGGTAACGAAATGGAGAGGGTACTCGGATGTTAAACACTGTTCCTGTACTGTTTTTCTTTATTGGAAAAAACGGAGAGATTAGGCCGAGTGGTCATTAAGAGTAGGATTTGCTTGAGTTAAATATTTATTCCATCCGGCCCCACTCTTCTTTTTAGCAATAATTGGGTAGTTCATTATCATTATTACTAATATAATTTGTTTTATCCACTTAGGGATGTTAAGAGCTGTAATTTTTTTTATTATGTCCAAATTGTTATTGATTTGGGTTATTGTTCTTCATTCGAAGATTGAGGTTTTGCCCAACCTTGACCGTCAAGTTATCCATTTTGGAAGTTTTGTATAACTTGAATCGGTATACTGGCAGCAATCCTCTGCAAATAGATCACCTAATTATCAGACATCAAAGCATCAATCCAGTTATTAGTCAAAACCAACCAGTAAACCAGTCTCCATTCCCTGTTGAGATCAAGTGTAGATTTAGTAGATACACGAGTGTCAAACCCCCAACCCGAAAAGTGTAACAATGTTTTCTGCTGCTCCTAAAAAACATAAATATATAGTTACGTGTGTATCAAGATTCAAGTGGGATCTCCATGCCAAAACCTTCTACTCTCCCTCTGTTCCCTGCACCACCAAACTGATATCTGACACCCGCCGAAGAGGACCCCCACCATCACCATCTCCACTTTGTGCTCTGCCCATTTCCCCCCATCCTCTCCAAACAACAAAAAATCAGTGTGAGCTTCTCCTTCTACAACTACAATCACCGGAACTCATCGTGATCGTATTCTTCTTCTTCCTCTTCCGTGAAGATTGCGCTGTAAAATACATACGGGTTCTCCACCATCTCTTCCAGTGACAGTTTCCCATCCTTGTCCCCATCCGCCTGGGCAAAAGTTAAAACCAGTTCATCAAACATAACAGCTACAACTTACAGAACAGTTAAGGAAACACTAACTGTTGAGCCTATAGGATAGTTGATCACTCTGGAGAGCATATCCCTAACTAGGAACCAGGAGGATGTATAAGTACCTGTGATATTATATAATCTGCTTGTTGCTTGGCGTAGTAATGTTCTGATGGATGAAGTTTCTCAATGATGGGCAGCAATTCTTCGTCTGACAGAAACCTGTGTTCAAAGGACCAGGAGCAAATCAGCAGCTATGAAATATGGTTACGGTGAAGACCTCATTACATGGAAATGGAGGAACCGTTCTTTATTCAGAACAATAAGGGAAGAAGATTTATACCCATCGTTGTTCTTGTCTAGCTTAGCAAAAAGCACCTTAGCAGGAGCATCCGTTGAGTCTTCAGATGGATGGGAGGTATTATGCGCTTCTTCGTCATAGTTCCTTACCAGATCGAAAAGCCCATGGAAAAATTCCTCGAAATTGACTTTCCCATCCTTGTCTGTATCTCTTTCCCTGAAAAGGAATGGCTTTAGTTAGTTGAATGAATCATGCCGGAAACCAAATCATCGAGCATAACGATAAAGCAAATATGGAAGGAAATACCATGAACACTAGCAAAAAGAATGTTACCCACTCGGATACCACAGGAAAAATAACAACTTTAATCTTTATCCTATGGTCTGTTGTCATCTCTCGTGGAACTTCATGCAAGAAATGCAAAACTAAATGACGAAAACAGAGACTAAGAATTCGAGGAAGCCTGAAAAAAGCTAATCTGGAGAGTTCATGCATAACAGCAGAATACCAGCATATGCAGACGTTCCTCTCTTGACACATGCATTGAGGTTATAAAGCACCATCCAGTATACCATAGGCTCAAAAGGATTGTCCAACACATTCTTTACAAAATAGGCGTATTCGACAAAGTTCATAAAACACCAGATTCGGTGGTGAATAAACGGTTCCTCAAAACAGTCAGCAAAGCCCTACAACGAATCTCTGAAATCAGTGAGAACAGTCTGAATACCCTGCTTCATAGAATATATCAATATGAGAAGAAGGATAAATCACTTTCTAAGATTAAATGACACTGCGGTCGAAACTTGACTTTCAAAAACCGACAAATCTTTCTATAAGAAAACCCAAAGGCATTTTGAGGTATGCAAGCATTAGGATTAAATTCCAGTAACTCTTTTAAGAAACTTGAAGGCATTGAAATGTTAATCACCTCACTTCCTCCTTGCACAGCCACTTCAGCAGGTCAGGGTTTTTACTGTCAGCTGGATGCAAGAAGCTACAATATAGCAAGATAAGAATCAGAAGCAAAATTCAAACTGAGTTGAAGAAGGAAATTGATTTACATTCAAGAATCATAAATAACGAAGAAGCTCACTCGTTAAACTCTGTGATGTCAAGAAGACCATCTCCATCTGCATCTGATGCATTGAAATGTTCTTCCTTCCACCAACCCATGTCATGCTCAAGAGAACTAGCATCTGGGGCAGGCAAACGCATATCAGCAAGAGGCATATGTTGTTGGTCGCAGTAAGAAATGCAAAGACTTGCATGGCATGATGAAATATGCTACGATAAACACTGGTACCAAGAAAACCACAGAGTGGCAAGGATTTCGACAGAATCAACTGTAAGCCACGATAAAGCACCGATTCGCAGGAAGTGAGCAGGGTGGAAGCATCAGGGGATACTTCAAGTTGCGATCTTTAAACTAGACGAGAAGGCTGAAAGAGGGAAAGCAAGGAAGAATCACCTGAATTGGCAGCCCAACTGGGGGGATCGTACTCTGAAAAGGAAATAAAGCCATCATGATTCTTGTCATGAACATCCATCTCTCTTTGAGTACGGTGCAAAACCTCCTTCTCGGCCTGTTTTAAGTTCCACTCCGTCAGCTCATTCTCGGTCACGTACCCATCAACGGGCGCCACGTCAATCTTGGGGAAAAGCTGCTGCAACCTGCCACGAAACACCCGTTTCATTGTTCACCATGGGAATCAATTCAATTCAAACTTCAATTTCGACTGGCATTGTACGAATTAAACCCTTACCTGCTGGTAACATTGAATTTCTCCTCATCGTTCAAGTAGTCCTCGGCCTCCACGAAATCCTCCCACTCCGGCTGGGACTCGTGGCCAGGAGCTTCCGTTGTCGCGGAGTGGGTATCGTTGGCGGCGTCGGGATGGGAATGGGTGATATAGTGATGCTCCCACCGGCGATCCTCGAGGCGGCGCTCAATCTGGGTCACGACGGGGTCAAAGGGGATTGAGTCGTGGTGGGGGTGGGGATTGTTGAAATTGAAATTGGACCTGAGCTTGAGCCGGCGGTGGGTAGAAGGCTTCTTCGGAGCATGGGAGAGCAGCATTAGGAATATGAGACATAGGGAAACGTAGAGGATCACCGAAGTTTTCCCCATCGCCGGAGTCCGAGAGAAACAGAGATCTATAGTAGGAAATACCCAATATGTCCTTCCGCCACAAGAACCAAATGCCCTGATCGCTAAATCAGCAGGAACGGAATCCGAGAGATTGAGGGAAACCAGAGGAAGAACAGATCTGGTAATTGACGGAGTGACAAGAGGTTGAGGATGACTACGAGTGAGTTGCCGGTTTCTTGTTAGTTAAGAGGAACAGTGCGATTAGGTCACTGGAGACGGGAATGAAGAAGGAATGGGATATAGATTATTTGAGATTGCAGAGGGGGAGGAGGAGGACGAGAATGGGGAAGACGCCGGCGGTGAGGATTGTGGAAGCCGTGTCCCCCTTATTCTTCTCCTCTCCCAAACTGAAAGCGAATAAAATAATAAGTAAAAAATGATGAAGAAAGAAAAAGCTAAAAGGATGAAATAATAACAGGGATACAGAGAGGAGGTAAATTCGGGTAAATTACCAGAATCGGTCACTGAAGTTTTAAGTTCAGTAAAGTTCGGCACTAAATTTATCGTGTGATAGTCATTTTGTCCATCTTGCGAGGTCTTCGAGCGAATGAGTCAGGTATGGCTGGGGAAATAGACTAGACCATCTGAAAAATCATGGTCCAAATCGGACCGGACAGTTTGTTCAGATCGTAGACCGTTAAATAGAGGTGGAGTTTCGATTACCGGTTTTTGGTTAACCGGTCGATTAAATCGATAACGGCCGGTTATTCACTAATCGGTAACCGATATAACCAAAATTCGGTCGGTTATTGGAGGCTAGACGAGATATTTTTGGTCTTGGAGGGGGCTCGATTAACCGGTAACCGAGATGATCGAAGCCTATTTGGGGCTGTTGTCGGTAAGGGGGGGACGGTTGTTCGGTTAACCAATAATTGACCGGTCGGTTATCGGATATAACTGAACTAACCGAAACTCCACCCTACCGTTAAATATGATCTGCATTATATGATGTTTTGATCTTTTGGTCTGGTCTGGTTTGGTCTAGCCGCGATTTATCGGACCAAATCGTTGACCCAACTGACTTCTCAATACATGTTAGCAGCCCACTTGACCACTTTCCCAACTCCCACAACGATACCCAAGTCTCAATCTTAATTTTTAGAATCTCGTCTCCTCCTTCATTCACAACCACATTTCACCAAAGAGTAAAGATGATTGTGTCTTCATATGACATTATGTTAATGTTAATGTTAATGATGTTATGATGTAAGTCGGGATGTTTTGGCTTTGTATCTCATTTATTGAGATTTATGGTGTCAAAATTAATCATGCATGTAGAAATTCATGTTTTAAGGGGAAAAAAACAAAATTTTCTTGGTTAATTGTAAATTTTTTGTGTGGTTGACTAATCAAATTGTTCATTTTTCGTTGAGTGTGGTCAATCTAGACAAACCCGTACCGGACCAGACCGCACAGGTGTGATCTGATCTGTGGTCTATACCTCAACCTCTCGGTCTGGACCATAGACCGTATATATGGTCCGGTCTGGACAAGACCGCACCGTTTCCCAGCCCTAGTGCCTGGTTGTGTCTCATATTTTTTTGTTCCGCTAATGATTCTTCCCTATTTTTAGAGGTCTTCGTTTGAGAGTGAATCTGGTTGGTGTTCTTAATACTTATCAGGAGTTGAGTGGGCAAAAGGTGAATTTATGTAAGTCAACGATTTGTTTTAGTTGCAACCTTATTGTGAAATGAGTGTGAGCACTTAGGCAATATTCTTGGCATAGGGCCATAGGGATAACCGATTTAGTACCTTGGACTTCCTTTGTTGGTCGCTCAAAACTAGGGACTTTTTAGGTTGTGGAAGAATAGTTTTTTTGAGTCGCCCTCAAGAGTGGAAACAACTTTGTTTATCTTGGATTGCGAAGGAAATCATGATGAACGTTGCGGCGAGTGTGCTTTCTGACCATTTATGTCTTTTTTTGTTATCTGTTTCTTTGTGTCAAACTTTAAACCGTCACCTAGCTTGGTTTCAGTAGGGTGCAAGGAAAGGAGAACGACAGGGTGCATCGGGTGGCTTGGAAAGTGCATTGACTTATCAAACATTAGGGGGGCACGTGATGTCACTCCTTTGAGCATTTTGGTCAAGCTCTTCTAACAAAGTTGGATGGTGAAAAGGGGCCCCTTAGGTGTTTTATATGATCAAATATGGAAACTACTTGACCGCAGAGATTTTTAGATGGTCGGATCCTTAAGTTAAGGTTGAGGTGACTTTCTTTTACATATATTAAATTTTGGGAGAAGGTGTGGATTCTACATATCCTCCCTAAGCTACATGTCTTCATGTCGCGTCTCCTGCTTCGTGTATGTCCTACAAGGGTTGCATTCTTATCTAGGGTTGTTTGTGGCAGATTTATGCTCCATCTTCTAAGAGGACAAGGAGGAGTTCGAACACCTCTTCTTCGATTTTCACATTGTGTGTGGCTTGTGGAGGGTTTTTGGCTTATTGGGGCATTTGTGTTCAGGTTTTGTAGGATACAACATAGTTGGGGAAGAGGTAGGGTTGTGGCATCGATGGCTCGTGTCTATGCGAGGATTGATGAATCGTTTTTCGTTGAGTTGTTGGCATTTCGTGAAGCAGTCCACTGGAGTTGCGGAAAGACATTAAGAAAGAAGATCACCATTTAGAATTGTAGAGAAATGATTAGTTGATTTTCTGAATTCGTGTTCGCTTTTATACAAAGCTGGAACTATATCACAGGAAGAAGAGGTGGAAAAAATAAAGAATTAGTAACAACACAAAGTGGGTTTGGTTTGGTTCAACCGAATGCTAACCTAACTACTAAAGTAACTAACATGATTTGCTTCCTAACAAACGGAATCCGAGTCTTGGAGAGTATAATAATCGTTGTTCATATTGCCTTTCAACTACAATGAATAATCATATTCAAATCAGGCCTAGCTAGCCTAATTTTGACTATAACTCTTGTCACTTTATTATTATTATGATCAACGCAATGATACCCTTGAGTTCCCATCATAACTCGGTTCGGAGCAACAAGTCTTGCGATAACCCAAGTAGGTTAGCCATGTAGAGTTGTAATTACTTTTTGTTTGAATATAACGACGAGGATACTACTTTCCTTAACCTACTACTATAGCATGAAACTTGTAATCTCTACATAAACTTTCATATAGTAGTTATCACTTGATGGTTTTAGATATATTGATTCATCCTTAACCAGAACAATGCTAAAGAGTAAAAGGGAAAGAGATGCAAGTATTAATCAAATAACATCCAACGATCAACCACGTTAATAGTCTCTCATAGATCTTTTGTCGATGTGCCTTTTTAACCGTTTTATATGATTATTTTGTAATATAGTCTTCAAGGAATGTCACAAAGAATATTTCGGAACTCTTCTATAAATAACAAAGCCATTGTACTTTAATTCAATGCAACTCATCATATAAAAGAAAATATAACGCTAATACGGAAAATGCACAATCGTCGACAGAGAGCATTAAGTCTTTTATCTTTATGTTTTGTCAAAAAATTCATTCCATCTATCAAAACAAAATTTATATAACTACATACATTTACAGGTCTACATTTATTGTAAATGAATGTACATGTCGAAACCGATCGTATATCATTGGTATAGAATCCAACTAACTGAATCTAATAATCAGAGTGATCGATGAGATACAGTCTTAATTATTCCAATCAAGTCAATATTTTTTCTGACTTGTCTTCTAAGTACCAACTAATCTAAACTGATGCTTCAACTCAATGCAACTCATCATATAAAAGAAAAATGATGGTTAAGGAAATGCGTAGAAAAGGATATAAATTATATTGGGGGGGGGGGGGGCTTTAGTCTTTTATCTCTTGCGAAGGAAATCATGATGAACGTTGCGGCGAGTGTGCTTTCCGACCATTTTTATGTTTTTTTTGTTGTTGTCCATTTCTTTGTATCAAACTTTAAACCGTCACCTTGCCTAGTTTCAGTAGGGTGCAAGGAAAGGAGAACGACGGGGTGCATCGGGTGGCTTGGAAAGTGCATTTACTTATCAAACATTAGGGGGGGTGGGCACGGGATGTCACTCCTTTGAGCATTTTGGTCAAGCTCTTCTAACAAAGTTTGATGGTGAAAAGGCGCCCCTTAGGTGTTTTATATGATCAAATATGGAAACTACTTGACCGCAAAGATTTTTAGATGGTCGGATCCTCAAGTTAAGGTTGAGGTGACTTTCTTTTACATATATTGGATTTTGGGAGAAGGTGTGGATTCTACATATCCTCCCTAAGCTACATGTCTTCATGTCGCATCTCTTGCTTCGTGTATGCCCTACAAGGGTGGCACTCTTATCTGGGGTTGTTTGTGGCAGATTTATGCTCCATCTTCCAAGAGGACAAGGAGGAGTTCGAACACCTCTTCTTCGATTGTCGCATTGTGTGTGGCTTGTGGAGGGGTTTTGGCTTATTGGGGCTTTTGTGTTCATGTTTTGTAGGATGCAACATAGTTGGGGAAGAGGGAGGGTTGTTGCATCGATGGCTCATATCTATGCGAGGATTGATGAATCGTTTGTCGTTGAGTTGTTGGCCTTTCGTGAAGCAGTCCGATGGTGTTGCGGAAAGACATTTAAGAAATAAGATCATCATTTAGAATTGTAGAGAAATGATAAGTTGATTTTCTGAACCACGTTAATAGTCTTTCGTAGATCTTTTGTCGATGTGTCTTTTTAACCGTTTTATATGATTATTTTGTGATATAGTCTTCAAGGAATGTCAAAAAGAATACTTCGGAACTCTTCTATTAATAACAAAGTCATTGTACTTTAATTCAATGCAACTCGTCATATAAAAGAAAAAATAAGGCTAATACGGAAAATGCACAATCGTCGAGAGAGAGCATTAAGTCTTTTATCTTTATGTTTTTGTAAAAAAATCCATTCGATCTATCAAAATAAAATTTATATAACTACATACATTTACAGGTCTACATTTATTGTAAATGAATGTACATGTCGAAACCGATCGTATAGCATTGGTATAGAATCCAACTAACTGAATCTAATAATCAGAGTGATCGATGAGATACGGTCTTAATTATTCCAATCAAGTCAAATATTTTGTCTGACTTGTCTTCTAAGTACCAACTAATCTAAACCGATACTTCAACTCAATGCAACTCATCATATAAAAGAAAAATGAAAGGTAAGGAAATGCGTAGAAAAGGGATATCGATTATTTGGGGGGGGGGGGGGGGGTTGGATTATATGGGGGGTGGACGTTTAGTCTTTTATCTCTTGCCAAATAAAGCGCGTCATCCTTTAAAACGATAAAAATATTACCGCATTTGCTATGTAGGTCAAAATCGATCATATAATATATGTACGTAATTTAGTTAACTCGAGATAATAATAACATGATCGGTGAAATACGATTTTGCATCAAAACCCATTGTCTGCTCGATTTGTCTCCTAAATAGGAACGAATCTAAACCCTAGCCCCCTTCTATAATAAATAAATATATTCATTGTCAAACTCAATCCACGCAAAACAACACCGCTACAACGTGTGATACTTTAACTCAATGCAACTCATCATATAAAAAGAAAAATGAAGGCTAAGAAAGTGTATAGAAACATAATATCGAATCGTTATGGAAAGGACATTCGGTCTTTCATTCCTTAGCTTTCTGTCAAATAAAGCGTGTCATCCATTAAATCGGGAAAAAATCCTACCGCATTTGCTGTATTGGTCAAAATCACGGTCGTATAGCATCCGTACATAATTTAATTAACTCGAGCTAAAATAAAAACGAGACCGTACATCCAAATCCTAAGTACGGACGAATCTAAACCCTAACACATTTCCTAATCGAAAAACATCTCCATCTTCAAACTCAATCCACGCAGAACACCATCGTACGATAACCCAAGTGTGAACATAATCTAGTCTTTAGCACCAGCCGCGTATATTGGAGGGTGTTAATTAAGGTAAGCCATGTTAATCCACTTACCCACTCAAGCTCAAACATTAGGATGGTAATAATAATACTGAAAAATGTATGTAGACAACAAAAGAAAAGACCAAGTAGTATATTCCATTTACTTTCTAATGAAATATTAAATTAAAAGAAATTTGGTAGCCTAATGATGAGGTGACGTGAATATAATATTCTGTTATGGCAATTGCTGTCGTGGGGGATTTGGAGACGACGTGGCTTGCCAAAATTCGGTTCCCAGAAAAAATATTATAAATAGCCAACACTGTAATGTGTTGGCTGTATTACCTGCCTGTTTCTTAAATCATCTGTTCCCCAGAAGAAGAGAAGAGATGAAGGCAGCAGCCAGGCTTGCCCATTCCCACCAATCATTGAAAGGTTGCACCCCTCTTCCTCTTTTATCGTTCACTCATTACGAAATTGTTTTTATGTTAACAGGTTGCTTAATTATTTAAAAAAAAAAAATGTTTTCAACGTTAATTTCATTTCATTTGCCTGCAAATCAATTCATGCATGCAGAGCTAATATTGTTCAAGCCTAGGGGTGGCATATCGGTTTCAATTGTTAAAACCGAAAATCATTAAAATACCGATAACTTTTTTAACATAACCAAAAATTTATTTTCAGTTTATTTGGATCGAAATCGAAACCGACAAAGGGCTTATCAATCTTCGGTTCGATTTTTTGAGCAATCGGCTGATTTGAAATTGCTCTTAAGTTTACACGGCATGTATATATATGAGACTGACTTCTATTGTCCAGTGAATTTAGGGAAATTAGGGGCATGCATGTTTGTGAGTTTATTATGCTATTTAAAAAACCAATTAAGTGAATTTTTTGGTGTATTATAATATATTCTAAAATTTCATAATTCAATTATAGAGCCGAATTCATTAAAGGGTAAACCCTAATACTCAATCAGAAATGGGTCTTAAAAATTGGTCTGTTGGTATGGCACACCGCCACTCCAATTATACCTAATAATTAAAGAACATTACACAATTTATTAAAAAATTGTATATAATAAGCTCTGCAATATTCAGAGCCGCAGTGCGCTTTATCTAATCTATAATAATCATTCATCAGTGAATGAATGGATCGTTTCCCGTTTATATACAAATTTTCTGTAATAGATTCGTTCCCATTATTATTATTATTATTATTATTATTATTATTATTAATCTCTGTCTCTTCTTTTCTTTGTTTTCCCATTATATTATAGTGATCTAGAGGAAAAGGTGACTGCGGTTTTGCCTGTGGGCCTTCATTTGCTTGTGTCCTAGGTAATTTCGAGCTCCTCGTAAATATTTGATAAATTCATTCAACTTATTTTCATATTTGATAGCAAGTGTTTTTAAGAACATATAATAACTCGTTTACACTCATGAATCTTTCATGCCCCTCCAAGCATTTTGAGTGAAATACTGACCAAATAAGATGTGAAGTTGTGAACCATCAATTAAAGTTATGAACTAATAGATTTCTCAAATATATATATATATTTTTTTTTTGACAGAAACTGTTCAAATTTTTATCAAAATTGACTAATAATAATCGACATAGCTAACTTAAATAAAATATATTAGCTCTCAAAATTATGGATAACATTTTTTATATACAATATCCGCGTTTGTTGTATCATCCAGAATCTTTCTTTCCCAATTGAAATCTTTATTCATTTTCCTTTTAGAAAAAAGGAATTTACCTTTCTACTCTTTTTCATTTTCATTTTCCCGGCGCTGATGATATTAAAAGGACTGAATTAAACAACTAAACAAACAGTCATTTCGGCCGGTGGGCGAGGGGTTTATCTATCTGGTGAGTCTGCCTGCGCGGTCTCTTGCAATTTTGTAAATCAGAGCGAAGGAATCGGGTCCGGAAAATCGATTCTTCCCCACACTACACTATCCTCATCTCTCCCTACTACTACCTTGCTCTCTATCCGAATCCAAAATCAGCAAAAAAGAAGAGCAAGAAAAAGAATCAAAATTCCGGTTGCCTGCTCCTTGCCGGAGAAAGAAATGGAGTGATTCCGTACGCTAAAAATCTAAATCCCTCTAGTCTGGATTAGGGTTTATCTTCCCCCCAAAGGGTCGAATTCCATCAGAAGTAGAACCCATCAAATTCCATCACTGTAACCAAAAAAAGGGAAAACCCCCCCAAGAAAAAGGTCAGTTTTCCCCCTCCTTCTTCCACCCTCTTCTTTGCTTTCCACCTTTACTGTTTAGCTGGGTGTGGTCTGTGCTTTGCCCTTTTGTCCTCTGTTTTGGTTAGTTGGAGTGTCAATTCCTTTGATAGTGCCCGCTCTCTATAGAATAATGTGTTCACCAGATGAAGTAAGATTTTGTTTTTCCCTTGTTGGGACTATCTTCCTTCCTTTTCAATTCCCATTTCCATAGTGGGGAGATGAACTTCAATTACCCCAAGCTATAGTGATCTTCAGTTCCCTTCTTTCTGGTTGGGTTCCGAGTTTTTTTCCCTCGTCTATGTCTATATACAATGCATGTTTGTCTGCAACCTGCCCACAGCTGGGCTCTTCTAAATCTGCTATCTGACTTGCCACTTTCTTCAATTGGGGGTTTCACCTGCAAATTTTCTGGACTGGGAATTGAATTTGTGGCTTCCTCTGTTATTAATTACACACCATTGCTAATTCTCAAAGTTTTGGTTTGTTTCCCCTTTTCGGGGGTTGGGTGCTTCTACGTTGGTAGCTTTCCTGCTGCGGTAATTTAGGGTAAAATTCGATGTCTTTGTAAGAAGATGGCTAGTAGCACCAGTAGCAAACAAGAAAAGGAGGTGGGCACAATACGCCATGCTTTATGATTGCAAGTGGAAAACGAAACCTCCATCAAGGAAATGAAAGCGGAGGAAATGGTGAATTTTGGGCGGTGGGCCTCTGCTGCTGTCAAAACTGTTGTTATCAACTATCAAAGATAGGATTTTTCTTCTCTTTTTTGTGTTGGGTTTGCCTTTTGAATTATATGGATATTTATGAGATGGGTTTTGTAGGATTCTGGGTTTTTTCTTCCTTCCTTTCTTTGTTTGGTTGCTTCCTTCCCATTGTCTCTTTCAGATCTCTCACCATCTCAAAGAACCCTAAAATTACTATTCTGTTCTCCATCAGAATCACCGTCGCATTTAATTTCTGCATAATTTTTATCCTCAATTGTGTTTCTCTTATTTGTTCATAATTTCATATGCTTTGAAACTCCATTTATCACATCTTTTGGTTTAATGGTTTTCAGATATTTCTCATGGTCTAACTTCAACTTTGTTGTTGCCTTTTGGATTCCATAATAGGTCAACAATTCACAAGAGTCCATATTTTTGAATTGTGGAGCAAATCACCATTGAAATTCTTCACTGCCCTTGCCTCCTTTGTGTGATTTTTATTGGAACTTATCTCTCTGCTTCAGCTTCCCTTGGCCGTTTCTGGGTGGGAGAGAGAGAGTTTGTTACTATCCTCTTCTTGCTTACTACTGCAGCAGCAGCAGCCTGACACACACCCCTCTGTTCTGCGATAAAATTTTTATTCTGCCATCACTCCACTTTCTTGGTGGATGCCCCAAATTTAGGAATTTTCCAGATCCACCTTTCGAGAATTGTTCTAGAAAACCTAGAACCGGGGCTGTGCTAGTAGGTTCCAAACTGCACCGCTTCGTGAAAAGATTTCTCTTGGAGGGTTTTTGTACTTGGAGATTGTGGAATTCCGGAAGAGAGCTAGATGACTGTGGATGAAGCGGGTAGCAGCTCTTCCTTGTGGACTTTTGAGCAAGATAAGGCATTTGAGAATGCTCTGGCAACTTATGCAGAGGATGATGCCGATCGATTTGAGAAGATAGCTGCAGACGTCCCTGGGAAAACACTGGAAGAGGTTAAGCAGCACTATGAGATTCTCGTCGAGGATATTGACCTGATTGAATCTGGGCTTGTGCCTTTACCCAACTATAATTCTTCCTCTGAGGGTTCATCTGGCCAGGCTGGTGATGAAGGAACTGGGAAGAAAGGTGGCCATGGAGGGCATAACAACAGTGAGTCCAGTCAAGGGAATAAGGGTTCAAGGTCAGATCAGGAACGCCGTAAGGGAATTGCTTGGACAGAAGATGAGCATAGGTATGTGGTTGTTCTTCTCTCTCTCTCTCTCCCTCCCTCTCTCTTTATCTCTGCTATGGTGTGTGTTCTTCAGTGGATTTTGTACTGAGAAGTCTTGGTCTGCTTGTTACGCCCCCAGCCTCTGCAACTTTAGCTAGACGAAATGGTTTAGGGATTAGAATTCACTAGGTTGTCTGAAATCCGAGAACTTTTGTACTTGCTGAATAATTAGTATGTCATAGCAAATTGATGACGTGATGAATGCTATATAGTCCTTGGCCTTGATTAACAACCTGCTGAAAGTTTGTCATTTTGTCTAGGATTTGGAGTTTTTTTAATCTCTATTGTTAGTACGAGAAAGATTTGCAGGTTTCTGTCTGTCTGCATCATTATAACATATACAGCATCAATCTGGTTTGGATTGTAGATTTTGTAGCTATTAGACTGTGCTCCCTTGTAGAATAGCAATTAGACTGTTCAAATTATGATGCCTCTTTTTTGTACCCATATGCTGAATTGTTAAGGAAAATTTTATGGCGGTTACTGGTGAATTCTTCAATAATCTCAAACCCAAGTCAAGAGGCCTCGTGCTTTACATCTATCAGGACTGGTTGAGGGTTCTCTCTTGTTTGAAAGGATTTCTTCTGCTCCTTTCACTTCTTCCACAGTATCTAGAAATGGTGGGAATCACATGTAGTGTTGACACTTGACATAGTGTTGTAGTTCTATTTCTTTTTGTTTTCAGGGAGTGGGTTTTGAATTCCATTTATATTGAACTAGGTGCACTTGTTCCTGGTGTTTTAACTGCTTGAGGTGATATTGGTTTGTTAATTCACGTTGGTATCCTTTTCTACTTCCAATCTTTGGTACATGTTTCAGTTTGGGTTACTATTTAAAGAATGCATCTATTCACAGCTTGGTAGTGGTACATAATGCATTAAGATCCCATTTTTCCACTTGGGATGTGTATTCAGTTTCTGGCACTTCCACCCTACTTGGTCAAAGTTTCATGAGATGGTCAGTTGGAACTTGTACTTCTCATGTGAAATTTGTAGTAATGGAGCCTATTCATAGTAAACCTAATCAGAACTTATGCTAAGATCTTGGCAGCATTATCTAGATACAGGAACATGCTCCTACGGTCTACGCCAGTAAAAATTGTTACTTAACAAAGCAGCTATGACATCTGTTTGTTACTGAACATCTGTCTCTCTTATGGCAACAGGTTATTCCTTCTGGGGTTGGAAAAATACGGCAAAGGAGACTGGAGAAGCATATCCCGAAACTTTGTGGTAACAAGAACGCCTACCCAAGTGGCGAGCCATGCTCAGAAGTACTTCATCCGGCTGAACTCAATAAACAAGGACCGAAGGCGTTCGAGCATTCATGACATCACGAGCGTGAACAATGCCGAGATTGCAGCAGTCCAAGGACCGATAACTGGTCAAGCAAACGGCACTCCTGCCGGCGTCAGTGGAGGAGTAGGGACTTCAGGGAAAGCGGGGAAACAACCATCTCAACACCACCCTGGCGGGGGCCCTCCAGGAGTAGGAATCTATGGTCCTCCAACAATAGGACAGCCCATCGGAGGGCCATTGGTATCGGCGGTTGGGACACCCGTGAATTTACCTGCGCCAGCACACATGGCTTACGGGGTTAGAGCGCCGGTGCCTGGGACCGTGGTCCCCGGGGCTCCGATGAACATGGGTGGGATGTCGTATCCAATGCCTCCAACGAGTACTCATAGGTGATGTAGAATACAAATGCAGAGCGAAGGTGGTAGCACAGATGAGTTTATTATGGTTTGCATTAAGTTAGATGGAGGGGAAGTTTGTCCATTGTAGGGGCTGAATAAGAATTCTTATCTTATAGTGGAAGCAAGCAGAATGCTGTTTTTACTCAGTTCTTTTGATTTGTTGATGGTGGAGGCTAGACTAGACTACATATGCATCTATCCGTATAGCCGGGCAGCAGGTGTGGGGAAGATCGCGGCAGCAGCAGCAGCATTAGATGATGATGATACATTTGGGAGGCTGGTTATGGAGAGAGGCAGCAGTGATGGCAAGCAATTTTCTCTTGTGGTTTTGTATTTGTTCTTATTTTCTTTCCAATCCTTGCTTTGGGGAACTCACAGTTAGTGGTATCAGAAAGACCAGACCATTTTTAGAAGTAGCAAGCTGCAGGAGTAGTGAGATAGATGTGTCTGCATCTTCCTTGGTTATGGGAAAGAAGGGAGTTGTAAAGATGCCATTTTTAGTATTCTGAGCAGCGTAGGCTGGTGGCAGTTGCAGGCAAGCACTTATTGTGCATCATTATTTTAATACAACTCTTCTACCCCTTACATCACCCATTTTCCCTTCTACTTCACTTGCCCTCTTTTCTCGATATTCTCCACTTCCCCAACTCGGTATGTTTCACAATTCTGAACGGCCGGGGATCTTTCAGACGTCGACGTCCGACCAACAAGGAATCACCTTCGATTTTGATGATCTTGGAGAAAGATGATGAGTCCATAGCTGAGCTTTCCCCAGAGCAGAATTTGGTGGCTCTTGTTTGTTCCTCCGTTGTCTGTAATGCTTAGTTAGTTGTATAGACAATGCAGAGTTAGTTATATAGAAAAACAGAGCACGCCTCGACAAAAGAGAGGAAAGGTAAGAGTTTTAACTTGCACTAATCTGTTCGCTCGCGCTTGGATGTGGTAAGAAATTAATTATACTAAATATTATTAAAGATACAAGGAGTTATTGTTGCATTAGAGATTGTCTAAAGTGAGCAACTGTCATTATATTAGGTGACCAGTGATGCCTTCATCAACACGTGGTTTCAGGCACACTTCTTTATTATATTGCTTAGTTTAAATACTAATAACACATCCATAACAGCCATCTATATTGGTGCTTAGTAATTCCTAGAAGTTAAAGATGGAAGATGCAGGGGGAAAGAAGAAATCAATGATATTATTCTATCTCTGGTATGGATTAAGCGCTCATTCCTCAGCCAGTATTAATCGATCTGGATATTAGTGTTTATTTCATGGGGTTTCCTTAAGTCATGGTTACTTCACTAAATCCCAAGGATTATAAATTCCTATAAAAAGTTGCATCAAAAAAGTTAACGATAAATTATTTTATGTTGAAATTATGGTTAACAATTCCAATATCACCTATTAATTTAACCTTCGGTAGGAGGCTTTTTTGGTCGAATCCTTGGTACTGTACGGGTTTTTAATGCTTGCTAAATCTTGATTTCAAGAGAACATAATGTTGCGCTACGTTGCCTTACTGATTTCAAAAAGCACACATTTAAGAGGGTTGTGTATGTAACTATTGGCGTAGCCAGGATTTCATCTTAGATTGGTCCTTTTAAGAAGAAATATACACATAATAAAATAATTTGGTAAACTTTGCTGATCATTCATGATATAATCTTATATTGGAAAATTTTGATAAACTAAAATATATTAGTAGTCAAAACTATAAAAAAAATATTACTATGTATACCAAACAATTATTAATGATTTACTTAGTCTTTCCTTTCGCCATTATCTAAAAAAAATGATTTACTTAGTCTTTCCCTTTTGAACGGTGTTCTTTGTCAAGAACCGTTTAGTATCAATAACACGAGTTGTTGAGAGAAAGATAATAATGAATCTTACACCAAACAATGATTCATGCTTTAGACGTTCTTTGCGTTTTATATCAATAACTAGAATTGTTGGGAGAGATTCAATAATATATCTTATACCATTTATTAGCACGCTCCCTCATAGAAAGTCAGCTTATACATAATTGAAGTTTGCACAAATCTGAATACCATGTGCTTAAGAAATGAGGTCACCAAGATTAGAACACAAGATTTTTCTATCAACTATTCGCACTTAAATGTCCCCTAATTTTTTGTATCAATTAACTATTGTATGTAATTTAATCATTTTCTTTTCGGATCAAGATGATTTTTCTACAATTTGATTGTCAAAAAAGAAGAAAATATTGAACTAAAGGGTAGCAATGAAAATGATGTAATACGGGCTCTCAAAAACTACCCAAAAGACAGCTAAAAGCCGCTGCGTAGTGCGGCTCTGCTATCCTAGTATATATAAAGTTACATTCACTTTTTTTTTATGAATAAGTTGTGTATTCATCAAGAAAGAATGACAGATTACCATTCTAACTGATACCAAACTGCAAACTATCCAGTTACAGAGCAATTACAACCACTCAAGCCACAAAGCAACAACTGCTAAAAGCTAAAAAACCTGAAACAAAGTACAAGCAGCATTACACTATAGTAAGAATCTCATCCTCACTAATAGCCGAACTAATTTGAGGGAAGCCACTCCTCAGCAAAAACAACATCCGCTGCAACCTCTCCATACAACCTCCTACAACGCTCCCTCCATAGCTCACTTACCACTGTCATCCAGAGCAATCTACCTTTATCAGAGGTTGGGGAAACCACTATAAACTGACTTAAAGCAATCTCCAGATTCTCCTCCCAACACCTTCCTAACTGAACTTAATAATTCACAAAATAGTTCATGTAACATACATATATAAAATTTACATAGTGTCTTAATCATTATAAAAACTTATATAATATATTTGTTTAACTAATACATAAAAAATAAATATTCCTCCATAAAATTTACGTATTGTATTCCTAATTTAGGTAATTGTTATAGAATGATATTACGTAAATATTTCATAAATTGTGGTCTAACTATAAAATCAAATTGCTTAAAAGGTATCATGTTTGGTTAAAATGCTAAATTACCTTATGAAGCCTATGTGTAATACAAATTGATGAGATGGTGAATATAGGCAATAACAAAATAATTTAAGTAAATAATACAAGAATTAAGTTATGAAAAGTATAACATTTTATTGAACTACTATGTGAAAAATAACTGAGTTTACATAACCTTTGTGTAATGTACATTGATGAAATGATCTACCGTTTACTTAATAATAAAGGAATTTCCTTTCAAATGTATGTTATGAAAGAATTACATAATATATTTTTTTAACTGATACATAACAAATGACTATCCATCCATAATCATAAGCTTTGTGTAGTGTATTAATCATATTGAAATTTACATAATAAAATTTGTTTATTTGATACAGAACAAATAACTCTCCCTCCATGACGTTTTTGTAATGTATGGTGTATCTCTAATTTACGTAATTGTTATACAATGGTGTGATGTAAACCTTTCGAATTTGTGGTCTAATAATAAAATCAAGTTATGAAAAGTATCACATTTGATTAAACTATTAAGTAAAAGTTAACTAATTACATTACAATTACAAAATCTTTGTGTAATACAAATTGATGATATGGACAATAGTTTAGTTAATGATGAAGGAATTTTTTGTTCAAACTTATAGTTCTAATTCTTACTAATATGTTTAATTGGTATATAAGCAATAACTATTCCTCCATGAGCATTACTTAGTATCTTATTCATAACAGAAGACTTGCATCTATCTATCTATCTATCTATATATACATAATATTATGACAATTCAAAAGTAGTTTGTTGTCACATAAGCATTTGGAGAATTTACAAGGTGCCATGGTAGACACTTTTTTTTACAAACAAAAAAGTTGGTTAATGATCAATTAATGTAGCTATATCTATCTTCTTTTAATATTTTATTTTTATTTTAATGATCATTTATGTAGCTATCTCTATTGTCTATTAATGTTTCTTTTTTTATTCAATAATAGTTTTTTGCAATATATATATATATGTAGCAACAGTATACTTATGTTTGGAGAGTGACATATATTGTAATCTTTTAAAAAATATATGTGATTAAATCTAATCAATTAATTTTTAATTTTAATTTTATTAGAACTTAATATAGGTTATAATAAAGGAAGTTTAGATAATCAATTGAATTTAAAAAACTAACTATAATTTTATGCTTTAGTTATCAAATAGTATCTTTTTCTAATGTTTGTATCTATCAACGAAAACAAGTATTAAATAGCAAAATGCTTTAAAAGTAGACCTGGTAAATGAGGACCCGACCCGTTGACCCGATCCGAACCCGCCCAAAAAGTAGAGAATGGGTTGTGGTTTTTATATCCCGAAACCCGAATGACTTGAACCCGATTAACCCGTAGTTTTTGGGTCAGGTCGGGTTGGTTTGTGGGTCGACCCGCTAGACCCGTTTCATTGCATATGTCACTCTCAAAATGATAAAATCACTCATACTTTGCTGAGATGTTTAAAAAAAATTATTAGGATTTGAAAGACAAGTTTAGAGTGTTAAGATAATCAAACATAATTTGTTTATTGTAGTAGTATTACTTTCGTCATTGTTTTTTTTACAATTTGTGCAATTTGTATTTCTTTTCATTAGCGTGGAAGGAGTTGAGCATTTGTTAATTGACATGTGCTAGGTAAACTATTGTCGCACATACATAAAAATTAATTTGTGTTCTTTAAAAATTTATGAAGCATGTTTGATATAGTTTCTGAGAACGCTCATGACCCGAAATGACCCGAAACCCGATGGGTTAGGTCAATATTTGACCCGAAATCAGCAAACCCATCATGACCCGACCCGTGAAGACCCGTAACCCGAGATTTCCAACCAGAAATTACCCAACCCGACCTGATTGCCAGGTCTATTTAAAATTTGTTTTTTCATTTTGATAGAAACTTGACGAAGCCATAATATAGTACTTGATTGTGCAAATGAAGATGATAAAGAAAGACAACTTTTATTCTCTCTTATAATGCATGCTTCCATTTCTTATTTTCGCTTACATTTGTTCATATTTCCCCTTATTTTTCTTAACAGTTTACATATTTCGGTCAAACAAAGGTGTTAATTACACTTAAAAATACATTAAACTCTTTATATTTTTATATGTATATTATGACATATCTTGAGTAAGAAAATAATATCTAGACCTTGAATTGACTGGAGTTTGGCATATGATATTATTCTCAAACCCTTAAAGAATAAAATCTAGGTCTTAAATTTATAAATCTCATACCCTAAGATCAATTTAATTATAAACAAAAATCAACGGTCATGATTCGTCAAAATATATACAACAAATTACATGCACAATCTTAGGAGTTCAGCTCTATGATTTAGATAACTAAGACCTAGGGTTCACTCATCAAGGGTTAGGGTATAGTATCATGCCCACAAATCTGGTTAATTCGTGGTCCAAATAGCATTGTCTTACTTAGAGTATAGTATCATGCTTAGATATTGACAAAATATGTGGCATTACACCAACAAAATGAAGATATTAGTATAAGTAATGGAATTTTTTATCCCAAAACAAACACCAAATATCAATAAATTTTAGCAAATGCATATTTGATAAGTTAGAAAATTATACACCAATGGACCATGTTAAGATTAGAACCCTCGACAGTGTGTGAGTATCTTGGACCGAGATTCTAAACAACAACCATGAGTTGAGGGTGAGTCTAAATTAAACTTCAGGAATTAACAATTGGTACATATTGTATTAGATATTAAATTGAGTGTCTTGATGGACAAATATGATCTTACACTAAGACAATAAACTTTCAATTGGGATGACCAAATTTATCTAATATT